GGTGAGGCTAAAGGCGGGCACCAATTACATGTACACGCTTTTGGAAGTGAATGATACCATACCACCCACCCCCTCCTCTTGAGGGGCAGCCTCCGTTGTCCCTCCCCCATCATTCAGCAGAGTGGGAAGTTTCCGGTGAATTTCACAAAATTAATTGTAAATCTTTTATTAATTCTTGACGCGTTCCGTACTGGCTACGGCATGAGTACAGACAAGAAAGGGACTTTTGACGACGAATAGGGCCTATGTTAATATGCGGTGGCATGCTTTGGTTTTGTTTCCCCCTGCGAGAGTGCACGGCAATGGGCATGATGATAGTGTTAGATGGTGACGATACTGACGAATGACTGCTGTGACTATACATGGTGCCAAGGATGATAACCTGTCACTGAAAGGATGGCAAAGATGGAGCCCCTAAACAACAAATACTGCCATGGGCGTCGCGAGGGAAGGGCAAGAGGGGCACTTGCCCCCCCCCTTGAAAAATGGGAGAAACATTGAGAAAAAAAAGGCAAAAAAAACGTAGTGAATAGAATTAAGAGAGGAAATGGGATGAAAGTCACGGATTTGATTTTAAAATATCACCCCTGCACCTTTTCATTTCACCACTAGACCAAGCTTGCCCTTTGGAATTTCCCTACCCAATGAAGAAAAAGTTCCCCCCTGGAAAAAAATCCTAGCAACGCCCATGAATACTGCCATGATCAGAGCAGAGCGGAAAAAAGAAGCTGCACTCATATCAGTGCACATGAGTACCTGAGGAAGAAGAAAGTGTCGACAGACACTGAGAAATACATGACAGCGGAGAACCAAAACGATGAGAACAGCTCCGTGGTCGCATAGCGAGGATCATCTGCCAAATCAAAACGCACAGGGTTTGACGTGAGAAGAAAATATTTCTCGAAGAACGGTGTACATAGTGGACAATGCGAACAGATCGTTGATTGGAATCGAAATGAAAAGTAAAGTTTAGCTAGTGGTGCACTAATGGAAGCCTCTTTGGAAGTTGCAAAGGGTCTCTTGTTGAAAAGGGAACAAACGCTGCTTCAGTGAAGATAAAAGCATCACTATATTACTACAGCTTGTGTTTGGATTACAACGTTACAGTTTAAAAATTAAAACCCGTGGCCAGAGTTCGCTGTCTTCGGCTCACGTGCGACTTGTGAATGTCACTGCAGAGCTACGATTCTTTAAGACGAAGAAGTAAGACTTTATAGCAATCCCGCTTCAAAGAAGTAAAAATATAATACGGATATTGGTTTTCTGACCTAAGAAAGGAATTTAAACCCTATTTTGAACAATGAATCGAGTGATTCACAATATTGGGCGCAGCCATGTGTTAGGGCTAGACCAAGAGTCCGCATATAAAGTTACACCCTTAGTGAGAACGCGAATTTAGGAGAGCAGATATGAAATGTTCGCGTTGCGAATTCGTAAAAGTTGAACACATTTCGTGACGTCAAATTCACTTCGCTTTCGCATTCACCTGCAGTGTGAACCAGCATTAAGGCTGTATTTAATGATCTACTTCAATAGTGACTGGCAACTTGTGACTTAGTGTGTGAAACTACCTAAATAAGGAGGAATAATATCAAAGGTGTGGCCAAGAATAATCCACCACATGCTGATGACACGGATCCCGTTCAGGACGCTCAGGTTTCCAGCCGCCTCTTCAGTGTTCAGGACCTTTGCACCGTTGTGCAATGCTGAGAAACCCATAAGTAAAGTATCCACAAAACCTGGTGGAAACATAAGAACGGCTGATAATGGCGTCTGTGAAAATATACCCAGAAAGTCTGAGGAGACACTGTGGCTTTTCCAATATTCGACTTCGTCTCCGTATTAGGATTCATATGTTTACCCCCCCCCTCACTTCGAAGTTGTTAACCCAAAAACAAGTCCAATAAGGCCACAGGAACATCAAATAAGATTCAAAAGCGTAAATTATTGCAATACCTTCATTTAATCAGACCTACAGTTGGGGGCAGTTGGCTCATTGGCCATATACCAGGCTGGAGAAGCAAGATTTTGGTACAGTAGATGTCAAGTTAGTCCATAGCAATTAGTGGATGCAGCTGCGATGAAATGGCTTTCATGCATGCGTATAATGGCCCTCCATACCGTATAAAAAATTGCTTCAAGTGAGGCTTTTCTCTCTGGATCACATATTTATTCACAAGGGATTAAACATCTTTTTAAAATCTTTACATATAGTTGTATGCTCTGGTGAAGTAATCCGTTTCCCTTTATAACTTACCCATTTTGATAACTTTTTTCTTACTACCCTTTATATCGCTGGCACTGTACGTAGGCGCGTTTGATGCAGGGTCGACATTTTCTGTTCTCTCCAGACCGCCCTCTACGTCGATGAACCCATCATTGTCATGAGCTGTTTGGCCGTTTTTACCTAAGTGCATCATCCCTGTCCAGTCGCTATTTCCGTTGATGCTAGCTTTTAGCTCGATTTGCGTCTAAATTTTTGGAAGCAATGACAAAATCCATCAAGTAACTCTCAGATGTGCCGATTGCACTTAATTGTTTTCCTCACTAGTTCTTTTTCTTACGCCTTTCCTCCGACTCCATTTTAATCCAAACCTAGCCAAAATATGTTAAAACTGGCCTGCTGGCGGAAACATACGAAAGTTACTGATTTCAACGCAAGCATAAATCTGAAACCAGTCATTTGCAGTCTGAACAATGCCTGGTTCAGTGATCATAAGGAATTTATTTTTCACCACTGTCGGCAAAGCCAATAAATAACACCTAAAATGAGTCCGCAGGCCTAAACACATAGAAACTACGAAGAAACATGAATCTGCGACATTAAATCCAAAACTGCAAAAAAGAGACGAAAACGGGCTTTATCAGCTCGCTTACCAAACAAACAGCTCGATGGCCTTCTTGAAAGACATTTTTCTCAAAGTCTGAGAAACTATACAAACCTCTTTGACAGAGTTCGTCATTTTCTCTTCAGAAAGATTTTTCTCCATCTTTTCAATGTTGGCTTTTGTTTCAGTGATGCTGGCCTGGATTTGTCTGTGACAAGTCAGGTGGTACACTGTTCCAATGACAACCATAAGCAGGAAGCCACACAGGAGACATCTGCAAAGATAAGCAATGAATTGCCTACACCTTTACCACTGATCAACCAATCTTAGTATACAATTTTAGTTGTTTACCACTTGTACATCTTATTTTCAATTCAATGAACCGCTATCCCCATGGGTTTACAAGCTACATACAAGCCACAGGGCAGCGGCTGTAGACGTGGACCAGGATGGGGCGTGGTAATAATAATAATAAAAATAATTGACATTTATAAAGCGCCCAATTCATTGAGCTGCTCTCAGGCATAAGGGCTCTTATTTTATAATTATTAATTGTTATTGGAGATGATGTGTCGTCTTTTATTTTTTTCACCTGTTTCTGATATTTCTTTTAAATTTTGGATTACTCTCTTAGCCAGGAGCTCTTTAAAAAATTGACAGAATGGGATTGTGTACATTTATATCTAGATTTCCCCTTATTGTCGACTAGGAGACGGCCGAGTGCACAAAGGACTTTGTTCATAGTCAACACACAGGGCGGACTGCTTCGACTGGAATTAATTTTATTAAATGGCTATTGAGGTTGAGACCCCCCCCCCGTTGCGCCACGGGGGCTGGGGTCTACAGCTAAGTTATTTGATAAGGCAAAAAGCTAAATACCTCTGGGGCTCAAGCTGAGATAGATAATCGCTGATTCTGCATTTCAGAGATACATTATCAATGAAAACAACTTACCTTTGAAATCAGTGTTATCTATTGCATATTTCTGTGTTTCAACGATACATTAGGCCTAATTAAGTAGAGTTGTAATATGCTTCCTAAAAGCTTCCTTAGTTTGCACCTCGTACTCAATGGACTGTATGAGAGGATAGGTTGACAATCGCGAAAAAATCCAGAATGCTGGGGCTTGTTTAGAAGGGTATAAACTGTTTGAAATTCTCAGGGAAACGTGATAACAATTTCTAGAACTGGGGGATATTCTTTGGATTAAAACGTGAAGTTTGCAACTCATAAAAAAAGTTCTTGAGTTGTGGATAGTAACTGGCGAGAATTTCAAGCAGTGATCATAACTATTTTAGATTATATTAATTTATAATCTATTTACAAATTATAGCAAAGAAAGAATGGGAAATCTTTTATACTTACAGTGTCACAATTGCTCCTGTTTTCCAAGGATAGTCGAAAATACAATTAAACTCGGCACTTTTTCCAAGAGCTACGATACAAATAAAAATAACAGAAGTCAGCCTTCATTAAGATCTAAGAACCATTCCTGCCCTTCCTGCCTTAAGCAACCAGATAATGATCTTAACCGTAAAAGAGCTGGGTTATTTTTGACCACCTAAAAAAGCCAGGGTGAAACTCAGGTGTCTCGTGCCTCTTTTTAAAAACTCTGAATGGTTTTGTTGTTAAAGTCAGTCGAAAATGAAGGTCACATACACGTGCAAACCGACGTGCATTGAAACAAAGTGCGGGAAAACACATGTATTCAATTTTGGCCGACGTGTCTCGTAAAAAATGGGCGCTTTGTGAGAACCCTAAATTTGGTTGTGACAGAAATGGCACTAAAAGTACTGAAGAGGTACTATTAAGGCTCAGATTGTGAAAAAAAATGTACTGCGGTGCAGAGTTTTAAAACTAGGCAACACACATAATAAGTAATTTGTAAGCCCCACCCCTTTTTTGCTTACGTTCGATTGGGATTGCCGGGAAGGAATGTAGGAGGATTGCGGTTATAATACAGACGGATCGTGTAAGAGTTGGTTTGATTGTCGTTTGGATATAAGGGCTTACGCCACTGTTGAAACGTAAGGGCAGTTCATACAAAAAGGCCCTATATTGCACTGAAGGATTAGTCAAGCGACGTCAAGTACGTGTTATGAAATGCCCAGGTATTTTATCAGGCCTAACAATATAACAATATACTGATAGAGTTTTTTGAGGACCTAATATCAAGAACAGGACCAACTTACAACAGACTACAGAGACGTACAAACCACTCTATTTGTGTTTCAGTTTTTAGAACTGTGTTGCACATTTCGCTTGTAATGTCCTAAAACGATCAAGCATCTACAGCAGCGTCAAGCAAACAAAATCTTGGAACACATAAAAAAAACCTAAATTAAATCCTATGAAAGCTTCATAAAATCGTATGAAAAAACCACGTTGATTACTGTTAGAGCCACTAAAAAAAGTGTTTTTCTTTCTATGAAAGGCATTATGCACTTAATTATTTTACGCCAATAAATCCAAATGACAATCACAAACTAACTCTAACACAATCCCTACTATAAACTTCCGGTAATCTTCTTATCCATTCACCACTTGCGTCAACGAATTTCCCCTCTTTCCTCTACGTTACCGCCACATTCCCCATAGAATATGCACACAAGGGGCGGTTCGTGAGGCTTTATCCACTCTGCTGAGCAACACTACTAACACGACATTATCTGCAGAATGTTTGGATCAGTTTTGAAACTTGAGTTTATAACGAATTCACAAAAGTCACAAAATGTTTCTACTTTGCAAAGTAATGTGATATCTAAGTAAATCTTTGGCAAGTAAAAGAAGAAACCAATAAACTTTATAAGAAAGTAAATTTACAGCGTGGCTACCCACGGGTGTGAAATACAGATCATTTTTTGAAAACATTTCACCGGGTAAGACAGAAACTTTTCAGATAATACAAAGCATGAACATCATCCATTTCAAAAACTTTAACAAAAACCAGTTAGACATAGGTCTGATGATTCTAGTCTGTGGTGTAAAGGTCCGGGAAGGGAATTTAGACTCTTGCTGGACACCACGACACAAGGAGGCACTATTCATGATAAAGAATTATTGAAAATATTTTGGTTGTAGGAAAGTTTAAGAAAATTCCTCAAAATCCATTGAGTTTTTTCTCACCACGCAAAGCGTATGTGTTTGGTGTGGGGGATCAAATAACCAAACCTCCGATCATAAAGTGGGGGATACCCCAACCCTCGGGCTCAACACCCTTTATGGTGGTCCCCTGTGTCTCTCAGACCATTTGAAATTCATACGCACAGGCGTTAAAACATACAGCTGTTAAAGACTCCTTTCCGCGCCAGCACATATATTTCCAAGACAGCTGCACGATTCAACACAATTCAGTCAGCTGATAGCCACTGCCCAGTCAACCGCAGAGAACTTA